TTTTTTCTGCTGCTGGCCCTCTTTTTTTTTTTTCGTTTTTTTTTTATTAATTGTCACGTGAGACCCCGAGCTCTCCACAGGGTAGATCGTCGCAAGCGTCCGATGGGTATAAGAGACAGAACATACACACATATCTATATATATGCTCGGCAATTCTCACAGATGGAGTCACTGTGATACTGTGAGATATACCAGACCTGGGAACAACAACGCAGTGACTCACGCCTCATTGCGCCAGAGGCCTTTCCAGCCGAGGTGAGACGAGAGACTGGACACACGGCGCTGACGGTCCATCCATCACATCTGAACAACCCACAACCTCCGCAGTTGACGTGGCTGCAATCTCCCACATACATGTCCGTTTGTCACAACCATCGTTTGTAAACCACCCGCTCGTCGACGCCGCATCCATATATATATATATACCCGATTCAGCAGAGACCAAACAGAAGAAAAAACAGAGGACTGCCACACGGCGTTCATGAAGAACTCTGCCTTGTTACCCGGCAGTGAAGACTCTTCAGCTGATTGTTCAACCACCGAGTCCGCTCTCTCAGCATCTGGTTTTCATGCTTCAGTGCCTCGGCGTGGAGGAGGAGATCCTTGACTTGTTTTTCCAGGTCCCTCACATATTTCACCCTCCGTTGCCGAAAGGCACGTTGGGCTTGTCGGTTCTGTATCTTGCGTTTCTCGTCGCTCGTGGAAACCGCATCTGCCCTCGTCGGGCTCGTGCCACCGCTATCGCTGTCGGCTGCTTCGCTTCGTTGGCGTTCCTGCCCCTGCGTGGTTTCTTCTCCGCCGACTGGGATCGTACCGTCACCACTTTGACCAAGCCGCAGTCCGTGTGGCAGCTCATCGCTCATGTAGGCTGGAGTTGAGCCTTTGCTTGGAGGATGTTGGCCCATGTGCTCAGGGATCGACATGGGAGATGCAAATTGGTGAGTGGTAACTGCGCCCGAACCCCAGAACCCATCACATAGCCCATAATCTTGCTGCCACATGTTTCCTGCAAAAGATTGACCGGGCCATTGACCAAAGTCTTGCTGGTGAAAGGGGTGGAAGCCGGGGAAACTATGGATACCTTCTCCGTGACCCACAACCTGACCTTGCGCAAACGCTGGAAGGGTCGATGTGGTGATTTGTGGATACCTCGAGGCCAGTGTCGTTGTCGTGGGCGGTGCAGACATGATGCTCCGCGATCTAGGTACAGAGGTTTCTTTGTCGACCTGGGTCGATATGGTATGCTAAGGAGCAGGCAGTCCTTTCTTTCAACCATATTTCCAGGGGCCAACAGAAGCAAATGGTAGTATGCTGACGGGATCGCTGCTTAGCAGAGTGGCTAGAGACTCGGTGACCCTTTGGATTCGAAAACTGACACATTTGTTGGACATGCCTGTTGTCCTGCTTACCGACATGAATCGCTCTTAGAGCTGACATCTGAACAGCCGCAGGTAACCTCTGAGGCTGTCATCCTTCATGCCTGTTCAAATTGAAGGACGCCCTGCCGTCAAATATGTGCTGCTTGACAAACTGATGGCTCATTGAGATATAGTGGCATGAGGATTGAAACCCTGTACAACAATGATTGAGTTCAGTAATCATTGACAGAGGAGGTTCCTGGACGGTCCGCCTATCGTGGGCAGCGAAAATGCCACAATCCATAAAATATCCCCCGCTAGTTTGGACGAGGCTTCATATCACATAGACACAAGCGGCTAACTCACTGTCTCGGGTATCCACAATCTCGCTTCCTGAGCAACGTATGGCATGGTATTTCCACTTCGCTTCGTGGCAGCCACACGTAGGTATGTCTGTGGAATCTGGCCCCTGGAGTCGACCGGCATGATTGGTCTGGACATCACCAACTCCCTGGCAGGCCTAACATTTGGGAGAAAGGGCTGAGCAACGAGCTTTGTCTCGTGAAGGGGGTCCGAAAACATCTAGACGGCAAGGCTGATATCTTCGTCCGCTTCGAGACGAGAGATACCAATACCCTCAACAACATCCCTGATGTGGAGACTCCCAAATCAACAGTCTCCAAAGATGGCGTTACCGTGAGATGCGGCATGGATATACTCGCAGAGATGCTCAATTTCTGACCAGGTTGTGATGCCAGACAGGAAATTGAATACATCCCACCACCACAGCACAGAGGTTGACTTCGACCCTAGATCTCGATCGACCCTTACGATCCCGAGATGAAGCTTTACACACTAGGCTTGGTACACGCGCTAAAACGTCAGGAACCACATCCGGGCGACATGGACAACAAGGGAATAGAGGTGGCGGATGTCGCGGCCGCAGCGGCCGATAGTTAATCGCAAGGCCTCCCAGCTGCTTGTTCTCGCCCCCTCGCATCTGCCTGTTTTCTCGCGATGTGCAACAAAGAAAATACTGTTCATATCAAGTCGCAGATTCCCGAAAAGGTGAGGCTCGGTCCATCTGTTTGACCGTGAACGAGGCTGTTGCTCAAACCGAGGTAGTCCCGGTATCCTGAAAGTAGTAACCGCGCTGCCGCGGTCCCCCTCATTTGTAATGGTCAAAAAACCAGGATAAGAAGAGGCCAGTCTCTTGTCGATGGTTTGATGTCCGCTTCAAGTCGAATTGACCAGAAGAGTTGTTGGGTGCGAAATGGCGCCACGCTGGGCCAGGTTCATCCATCCGGAAGCACCAGATGTAAACAGCAAATACCAACCGACGGACGACAAGGTCTTTCGATCTCCATTCGGCCCATTTCCCCCAACACCGAAGGATCTGAATGTGCATGAGCTGTGCTTTCCGCCTGATCAACCTTTGCCTCCAGACTATGACTTGTTCATCGATGCTGTGACCGACCAAAGGATCACGCTCCATCAATTTTATGAGAGAGTCTGCGCGTTGGCACGAGTCTTTCGTTATGATGGGCCGAATCCTTTGGGATTGAGCCGCTCACCAGTCGACGACAAAGACAATGGAGAGATCCTGGGTCTCTTTTCTCGCAACAACATCCACTACTCGATGTTGGCTCATGCCTGTTTTCGTTCCGAGCTGGTGTTTGGCGGAATAAGTCCGGCATCCACCTCGTACGAGCTGTGGCATGTTCTGAGAAAGATGCAGATCACATCGATTGTGTGCCATGAGACGCTTCTCCCCGTCTTGCACGAAGCTATCAAACTCGGTGTCGGCCCGGTCAACGACAAGCTACCCCTTGTGCTTGATCAAAGAAAGATCATCGTGCTGGCGGATGATTCGTCCTTGGATTCCGTCGGGGGTTATCCAACTGTAGAGTCTTTCATCCGGCGTGGCTTGCAGATGCAGGAGCGCAAAAGAAAACTGATTGGTGGTGAAAAACTGTGTTACTTGTTCCAATCGTCAGGCACGTCTGGTTTGCCCAAGGCGATGATGATCTCCCACCGAAATGCCATCCATAGCGGTTTACAAAGCACCGTAACGGCGACGATGACAGCACTGTTCAACCGAGTTGAACCACTGACACACCAAACACAACTTGGAATTGTCCCAGCATACCATTCCTACGGCATGATCATTTGGATCCTGCGCGTCAATCTTGCTCCCTCGACCAATATCATGATGTCGAAATGGGATATCGAACTCGCCCTGAAATGCATTGAAAAGTACAAAATCACAGTCCTGCCTCTGGTTCCTCCGGTTGTGAGACAGCTTGCGCAGTCTCCACTGACTGACAAATACGACCTATCATCGGTGGTCAGCTGCTCCAGTGGCGCGGCTTATCTTCCGCCCGAAGTCGCATACAAGCTTGCCCAGAAGCTGCCCGTGAAAACTCCCATCCCCTCTGGTTATGGTCTGTCGGAAGCCGCATCCATTGCGGCACCCCCCATCGAAGGCATCTTCGGCTTGAAAGCATCCAAGCCGGGTACAATCGGCTACCTCCTCCCAGGGATGGAGGGCCGAGTCGTTGACCCGGATACCCTACAGGATGTCCCGAAGGGTACCAAGGGTGAACTGTGGGCAAGGGGTAATGTTGTATGCATGGGATACTTTCGAGATCCGCAGGCTACTGCAGAACTGTTCGCAGAGCCTGGTTGGCTGAGGACAGGAGACCTTGTTTTGCGTGATGCCGAAGATCGAATTCATTACCTTGACCGTCTGAAGGAGATGATCAAGGTGAAAGGCTTGCAGGTGACTGCGACCGAGGTGGAAGATACTCTGCTTGAACACCCAGAGAAGCTTGTTACGGACGCATGTGTCGCCGGAGTCGATAATGGTCGGGGCGATGGAAGTTTGTTTCCGAGGGCATGGGTGGTGCTGAGTGCCGAAGGAAAGAAGCAAGGTGCAGCGGCAGTGATCCAGAAGTTGAATGAGCATGTTGGGCAGCGCTTGAGTAAACACAAGCATCTCGCAGGAGGAATCGAAATCGTCGACTCGGTATGTCTAAAACGCGCAATGCTAGCGTTTCTGCTGACCATCATCCTCTAGATTCCAAGGACACCATCCGGGAAGATGTTGCGAAGAGAGATGAGAGACGCTTACCATCGCCGCATCAAGCAAGAAGCCGCGGGAAGTAAATTATAAGCTGATTCTTGCCATGACTGCCATAATAACGCATTTGAGACGACGGAGAGGAGAGCTCTCAGCTGCACCGTAGAAAATCTGAAAGAGCACAAGAGATCTTTTGATTGATCAAAAATTTTCATCATGTTCCGAGAGGACTGAGGTTGGCGTCGGAATCGCGCGCAAAGCCCCATTTCAAGCACTTGGCAAAGTCTTGGGCGATTTCTGTAGTTGAGAGCCCAGTACCAGGTTTGCAGTGTCCAGTCGGTCACCTCAAGACCTCGTCCACCCCCCGGGGGGGGGGATTGGCACAAGATCTGATAGTCATGGAAACGTCCATGTTCGTTCCAGACATGTCTGCGTGGTTATCAGCAGTTTAGGCCGGACAGTCATCGTCTGTGCCGTGTGGTCATTCTGTCGGGGCAAATTTTTCGAATCAATCCTGGGTATATTCCACAAATAGCATCAAACTCCAGTGCGCTTTAAACCTCATTTCAAAGAGAACTTCAGAGGACACTAGCGTGCTTGTCTGTTATCTTGATCAATCATAATGGGCAATGCTTGGGAGAGCGGGTCTTATGCATGTCAGACCCGCTTTGAGACGAGGAATAACAAGAACGTATCAGTATATAAACTCACCTGTAGTTTCGTGGAATTACGAGGTCTTCCCATGCTGGCTTGAATTTGAGCGGTGCAGAGACGTAGCATCTGCATCTGTAGACAACAGTCCGAAATAATTTCGTGGCACCGCTCCATTTCAACGTATCAATCCTCAGGAATTTAGAAGCTCATGTCTGAGCGCACCACAACATGCCAAGCTCGTAGACAGTTGTTGCCTCTGGTTTCCAAGAGATTGCTTCTGCATAAATTACACCCGAAGAGATAGTATGGCGGGCGAGAAGAGGCACCAGAAGAAGGCTGCGGTAGAGTGCGCCGATGCAATATAACCAAAGCATAGGAAGCAAAGGTGTTGCGGCGCCCGGGAGATGAAGCGGTGATACACGATCACAACGCAGCCTAGCGGTCAAACTCCTCTCTGATCTCACGAAGAGATGAGGAAGGAGGGATCACAGCCGCCGCCCTCTGATCGACTGGCAAGCCTGCTAATGGTGGCATTGAACCATGGCCCAAAGTCCCGTAGTCGGCAGTTTTTTCTGGATGGTTTCCCAAGACGAAACTCACTGGATAACTTCAGCGTAATCATCAGCATCTTGCCGGATGACAAAAGGCATGCGCCATGCTCGGAACCTTGTGAATAAATCCGAGTCCATGCGTAGTTAGAGCTTCAGGGTGTCGTCTGGCGACAGGGCGAACTGAGGCACCCAGAGTTGGGCTTGCAAACGGAGCAAGGTACCAGAGGGAATGCGGTAGTCGGACTAGCTCGACTGGCTTAAGCCTTGGGCAGGAAGCCTCTGAAGATCTGCCTAACCTTGTCCTGCCACCGCTTATGACATTCCTGGGTTCGCCATATTTCTTTACTCTCGATGCTGTACTTCAACAAGGCCAAGTGAACACCGACAAAGTCGACGATGATGCAGAGGAGATCATGAGCGGTGAAGCAGTCAACAATGAGGGGTTGCTGTCGTGGTCAACGCAGGAGACGATAGTTGCAGTGACGGATGTTATGTCGGGCTTGTGACTTTTCATCATGAGGCAGTCAACGCTGTGCTGCAGTTACTGTACCCACAGTGAGGCGGCGCGGAAGAGCAGACGAGAGCCGCAGAGGCGAAACCGCACCATCGACCAGTCAACAAACACCCGGGATGCAGGGAACCGAGTTTCGTGGGTAAGGACAAAAGCCAAGACGGGTTTGCAGGCACTCATGCCGAGAGTCGTGATTCGGTCGAGCTGGATGCAGAAATGATTGCGACTGCCCAACTTCCCCCGTGGGGCCTGATGGGGAAGGCGGACGAACAGGTGTTCATGCACAGGACGGCTGCTCTTCGGGAGTGAGTCCAGCCACGGGCCAGACCCGGCCCTCATTGGCAGCTCAAGAGTCCAGCAACGTCATACATGAGACCAGAGGACATGGACCCGTCTTTTGCGGCTTGGGCAGATGGGCGAGAACAAGCGGTGGAGCCAGCGAAGCCAGTCGTTGTCGAAATGACAGCCGTCATGCTGTGTGACGGAGACAAGTGACGGAAGGGTCATAAGGGAGCAGCACGGCAGTGAGAGGTCGAGGCTCGGGTCCACAGGAGAAGCCAGAATTTCATCGTGACGGGGATCAAGTTGAGGAAAGTGTGGACGTCTCGTTAGAGGAACAGAGAGGAACCAGACGACGCGGGCTTTTTGAGAAGCGCAGGCGAGTTTTGCTCACAAGCGGGATCCGGAGAAATTTTCATCCGAATAAACACTTTTACGAAGGAAACAAATTCGCACTTCGTATGGTCATTCGTCATGCTGTCTTCGAGCTCCCTCTATGTAAGTGACCTCCTGTCCCTCTGACCTTTCCTTCTCCTTGAAAAAAGGGAGTTTCAGCATACCTATCTCTCTTGCAGGTGAGAGGTACATGCAAACCATTGGCTCCTTTGGCGGTCAAGATGATTAGAGAGACTCACGCAACACAAAGCTCGGAAACGGCCTCGTGATTGGCATCCGCATGGTTGACAGATTTTGAGGATGCATGAGACACCCAACACTCGAAGCCACTTTCAGGTCGCAACTCACGGGGTGGAGAGACGGTAGAGACACAACACATCACGCTTGAATGCTTTTAGCTTTCATTGACGAGGTGGGATTCTGTCCCAAGTGTCACTGTGAATCGAGACACTCTGCCAATCATCCGCGATTATGCCATTGATGCGGCCATACAGTCTGTGTCTGCCCTTCTCGTAGCGATCAAGCCCTCCTATCAATACCTTCGAGCTAAGACAGCTCAGTAACCCAGCAATACCCAGATCGTCCGAATACCTTCCAACGCCAGCGCTTCGGCTCGATGTAAACAGCGGAGGTGTACATCAGCCATTCTTGAAATGCTCCTTTGCGTATTGTTCGCATGCCTAGAATAAGCTATCATGAGCCTGGGCGTCCAATTGGACCACCACTAGATACTGACCTTTGCTGGCTTGCCGAGCTTCTGCCCGATCGCTTTCCACTTGTTTGCTTCGTATTCTTTTATAGCTTCCCGAAGGGCTGCGGACTGTAGGCGCTGTCGGTTTAGCCCAGAAAGGAGGGAATCACTGACATGCACACGTACCTCATCTTCGGCAAACTCGGCATAATGCATATCCTGGAGCGCGCTATCAGTAACAACTCCGGTACTATTAGACCACACTCTACCTTGTACCAGTGCTTCTTCACGCTGCCTTCAGTCCGTGCAGGGAAAGCCTGGCGTGGATCAGTAAAGACAAGGCCAAGTTGGAAAATGATCGGAGGACAACCTTTGCGATCTCACTCCAGCTGTGCCCAGAATCACGCATTTGCTTCAATCTCTGTTCCTCCTGGGCAGTCCACGGCGTATTGGTTCGCCCGCGCTTTTTGCCTGTCTCGTCCGCCAGCCCTGCCGGCAAATGGGCATTGGGAGTGACGGGGTCCGAAGGTAAAGCTGTGCCCGGAGGAAGTGTATTCAGCTTGGGACTGTGTGATGCCCGTCGCTTGCGCGGATTTTGGGGAGAAGCTGGCGGGTGAAGCATGTCGGGAACGGGTTTGGGTGCCAGCGTAGCCTGAGGCGCCGGTACCTCCTTGTTGATGTGAGAGGACGTGGTGGAAGCGAATTGCTTTTGCTTTTTGGTTGGGGGAGGTGATCTGATACGCGGGGGAGGTCAGACTCGGACCGATGAGGTCAAGACACAGAAATCAAGTCTGAAAGAGCAGCCAGCCAGGCTGGAGCACCAAGCAAAGCCCTTTAGTGCAATTTTCCAATGTACCACTCGGGACATGAGAACTTACGACATGGTGACGGAAGTGTATCTGCTTAGTAGAGGTGAATTTCAGTCGAAGTTGCCATCGGCATGATCGAGTCTTGTTCTGGGCTAGGAATGTCCCGTGAAGTCAAGGCCAGCCACGCGAGACACCGGGTGCTAGGAGAGGCAGGCAAGTGTATTTGGGTCAACGATAGCAAGCGTCACACAACAGCCGGAAGCTGCGAGGATGCAGGAGCTAAGCTTGCACGGTGCTTTCAGACAGGCGCCAGCGTGGCTGAGACTGGGGGGGGTATAGAATGAATGAGCGGGAAGAAGGTGTGACCGGCGATCGGGGAGGAAGTGCAACAAGGCAAACTGAGGCCAATCAGGTCCGGCAAATCCAACGCAGGAGGGAGAAAAGAGCGGGACGGTAGCGAAGAGGCGGTGCGACAGCGGTGCAGGTTTTGAGAAAACCTCTTGCTTTATCTGATTTGTCTCTCCCTCTGGCTCGTCGTCCCTGGGTTAGACTTTTTCTTTCTTTCTGGTTCCAAGTGTTGCTTGCACCGGTCCTGAGCAAAAAGTGATCTGACCCTGAAACGAGAAGACTGGAGGAATCGCTGATCATATGTACCACTTCCGGACTCTTGGGGACTCCGCCAGTAGATGAGCGGTGACAAGACTTTGTCTGGACTTCGGGGACTGCGGTAGGGATGGATCAGAAATGAGTCAAATACTGGTAAGAATAGCCGGAAGTAGTTGAGAATCGTTCATGTACATCGGACAGCCAAACCAACTAAATGGAGGAGACAGAAAAGCAGGATTGACATGGACTGCGGGTGCAGTACAAACTCGTTAGAGCGGAAGAGGTAAAGAGAGATCCAGGGGGTTCCTGCAAGGAAGAACCAGGGAGGAGGCAATGGATGGACCAGAAGAAAAGTAGACGAGTCACTTTTTTTTTGTTTTTACGTCGTTGTTAGCTACTTCTCGATCGAGTGGGCGTCTGTAGATACCTCAAATGTTGTCAACGGTCTCGTGAGGCGTTGGGAGGCATCAAATGAGGGAGTGTCAAAGCACATGCCATGGCCGTAGTGGCAGCGCTTGCATGACCGGGGGTTGGTGGAGGTGAACGAGGTGGAGGTGGAGATACGAGGCTTGTTCGATGTGCCGGCGGATCAATGAGAGCGGAGGAAGCCAAGAGTGAACAACCAAAGGAGGGGTGGTTCGGTGCCAGAGAGGGAATCAAACGATGCAGAAGGGGTGCGATATGGGGTGCCAACAAGGGTGCAATGTGCGAACAAAGTAGGTCGAAATACTTAGCGACTTCGTGCTGATGAGGCTGACTGGGCGATTCCACCCTGCAGTGGGTCAGATGATGGAGGAACAAGTCTGTGAGGGTGCTCTTCCCGTCACTACTGGCGCGCATGTGGTCTTCTCTTTTTTTTCTGCTCTCCGAAGTAGTCCAAGCAACGACGGAAAGTACGGAGCATGTCGAGGAAGGTTCGGTGACTAGGGGGAGGAAGGCTCGAACGAATCGATACCTGGTGACCATGTACTGCCGGGGTTGACGGTGGGTGTGGAAAGGAGGGGAATGGCAGAGACGAGGTACTTCGCAAGACCTAGGACCGAAGTAACGAGCGCAGTTGGCGGAAGAGAAGAAGCAGGCATGACGAGGGAATTTGGCCTTATTGCGGGGTAGAGCCAGGACGAGCTGACGAGAAGTCAAACCAAGAGTGACCAAAGTGACAAAAGGTATGCATAGGAGGGAAAGGATTGGATGGCAGGTTACACAAGAGTAACCGACAATGGTTAGTAGCTGATCAGTTGCCAGCACGAGCAATGCAAGCCCTTTAAAATGGAGGGGATGTAATGCATGCACCTTTGACGGAAGCCGGGAAAAGGTGTCAGGGTTGTTGACAGGGTACGAGAGGGAACAAGAAACACCACAAACCAGGTGTGAAGAGAAACGAACGGCGATAGATTGGAAATCCATTAATTGGTGAGTTGGGCAAGAGCTAAGAATGGACACACTGCAATGACGACCGACAGCACCATCAACACCACCTCCGCCATCATCATCATCATCATCACTACAACCACTACCACCACCATCACCACCACCATCAAGGCTGAAATTACACCTCCCACTGTCGGTACATGCGGTCATACTTTGTAAAAGTGTACTCTGTATGTACTAACAAGTTACCTAAGTTAACTAGCACCTCCTAGCACTCATGGTCATGTGGAGGTGGTACGATGAGTGATGAGTGAATACCCATTTGATGCCTCTTGTTCTTCTTGTTCTTATCATCCATCTCAATAGGCATTGAGAATAGACCATGGCCCCCATCTGTCCGCCTTTGAGAGGCAGTCGATCCGGTAATGTTTTCCAGGGAAATGTGTTCCAGGGAAATGTGACAGAAAGTGACAAGGAGAGTGAATGAGTTACCTAGTTACAAAGGAACAACCTAACAAAACTCTGATAATGACCATGAAGATGACCATGACAGAAAGAGATAGCTATGACGGCACGGACTGGAGCTCGGGCCACCAGGTGAGTCCAATCTGAATCACAAAGCCCGAAAAGGCAGCTCTTGAAGAGGGTTTGGACACGCCATGGTGACTAGCTTGAGTACCGGGGACAAGTGAGTTAGTTGACTGTGACTTTTGATAGAACACTTTGGGGAAACAGGTCGCCGATCGCTATGAGGCCAAAGAGAGAAGAAACGTGGAGGTGGGTCTGACGTACTTTGTACTTGAACACTGTGAGATTTGAGTAACTCGTACCCAAGTACCCAAGTACCCAAGTACCCAAGCACCTCATAAGCCTGGGCGGTTCCAGTTCCTTAGTGAGTCGGTTCAAGCACTAGCGCCCATTAGCCAGTAGCCAGAAGCACTTCCAGGCTCTCCTTATAGGTGAAGACTCTCTAAACCCATCAGGTGCCTGGATGATCCGGGTCTAACTTGCGTCATTGCTCATCCCTCTGTCCCTCCGGTCTCTTGGCCACCACTTTCTCTTTCCTCCTGCCAAACCTAAGATACTTCCGAATAAGGGCAGAGAACAAGTTAGGTATGTGCCTCCCCCATCAGAGATGACAGTTCCACAATTCAACAATGCCCAGCAGCTAGCATCCTTGACATCTACCCTCTCAGCCTGAACTTCGGAGATCGAACCCAATGCTTGGGTGCCCCTACAATCCGTCCAAAAGTTACATTGATCTGGAGTTTCCTGATTGCTGCAGCAGTCGCTAATTTTGCTCGACTGGGCTTCTTGAACCCTCTAACCGGCTCCGACCCCTCACACGTCGACCCTAGCCGTCAAGTTGTCCGAACACTGCAGCAAGGCGTCGATTGGCACCATACGTAGACACGAGAGACGCCGACGTAGCCGAGCATGAGTCTCTGGATCGGGCAGTCCAAAAGTATGATGGACGCGGATCAATCCCCATTCCATGCCACCTTTTTCTGCAGGTCGCAGTCTGGCTTCAATAGGGAAGGCCTGCCTTGGCGAGGGCCATCGACTAACATTTCGCGATCGGATGCTAGTGTTTGTGCTGTTGCCCCCGATTGTCAGTAGGACGAGCGGTGCGGTCAGTAAGTGGCGATGGTACACAGGTCGTCCAAAGATCGCTGCTGCTCTGAAGCCACGCGGTTGCTGTTCAGTCCCACGATGATGCGTCCCCTTCCCAGTTGACTACGGTCCTCTATCAAGGCAATTCTCCCTGCTTTGCCCCGGCGCATGGCATGGTGAAATAGTTGCGCATACTCCAGGACCTGGGCTTTCCCTCTCACAAAAGCCTGGCGATCACACCATTCACCCAGAAATGAGTTCCGCCACGTCTCAGCTCGACAACGGATTTCCAGACTGCTCCAGCGAGCCACTTCACCCAAGTCGAGTTGAAGATCTTCAGGGTAAAAATGCTTCAGCAAGTCGCAATCCAGCTGCCAGACCAGATGTTTGATATACGGCGCACACAGATGACCATCGGTGATCCGAGTGGGCAACTTTCCGGCAAAGGCGTGGTTCATGACATGGAAGACCGTGTTGGCATAGAGGATGGGTCTGGCTTCCAGGAGTATTGTTTTGTTGACCCTCAAGAGTTGAGCTGACCTCGAAGAGTGGTTCTCAAAATGTGCCCGCCGGGGTATCAGAGCGCAGCTGTCATCATCCGCTGGGTTCTGAATAACAACCTTTCCCTGGCCAAATACTAAACGGAAGATGTCGAGACGGATCTCTAAAGGAAGATCAAAAAGACTTGGCGCCGTCATCCTGTTGATCGACAGCGAGGTGCTATGACTTTTGGACCGTGCCGCTCTGGGGTATAGCCCGTCGAATATGGATGTTCCAGCAAGAGACAAAAGGTCTGAACAAATCCGTGTAAGCTTTCGAGAAAGACGGGTTGCAAGACGAAAATAATATGATAATTTTTTGTCAGCCTTGCCCCCTCCTGTGTAGTATCTACCCAGGGGGGTATTTTTGAACGTTGTTGGCCCACCCGAAGCCTGTCCCTCGCGTCCCGGACTGATTCGGCAGGCGTCTTAGATTACCCGGAAAATTGCGCCAATTTTGGCTTTTTGGGGCGGTCAAATCTTGGTGCTAATCGCTGTCTTTCTCAGCCTCATGTCGCCGAAATGGTGAGAAAAGGTACTCGGTAGCGAAAGTGAGGGATGATGGAATGAACGTTGCCGAGGTGGTATTGGTGGTAGTAGTGCAGGGTGTGAATGAGCTGAGAAGATGGTGCATGGTTCACTTTTCCCCTGGCATCCCCTTTTCAGCTGCCATGCTTCATTTGTACTTGTAACAGCACTTCGTACTTTTGTAGCAATTGGGGACGTGTCTGCACTGGTCATACTATTACTCGAATTGGGAGGGAATTGTCAGATATTCCTCACAACATTCTGTACTCTGTATTCTGTATTCTGCACTCTGTACTCTTACAGAGAAGGTATAGATGTTTTCTTTGTACAAGCAACGAACAATGTGCGAGGGAGATGGAAGGAGGGGACCAAGACCATGGTGGCGATGCGCCCATGCGATAGGCCAAGGGGGTTTCGGAATCTGATTCCTATCTCATTCCTGTGGATTACCTGTACGAGATACCGCGTACTGACTGTACTCGGCAATGTACTCGGTACGAGTACTAGGTGATCTGCAAAGGGAGGGTGGTGACGGTTCCATCTTATTTTGTCAAAAGGGACATCGAGGAAGGGGGAGGATGCGTTGATACGAGAAACCATCGGGCCAGAACGGGCCTGTCCTCCCTGGGCAGGAATGCCAGGATGCCAAGGAGGGAGTTTGCCCGTGTGCCCGTTTCCCGCCCAAACAGAAATGCCACATGGATCTTTCTCTTTGCTTGTCACCCCCTTTGTATAGACTGTCTACTCGTATTATCTGCCAAATCCCACAATCCACCCTGTCATCAAATGATAAACTCCAACGCTTCAACGCTTTCAAAATATACACATCATCATGGTCAGCCGCATTGTTGGCACCGTTGGCGCCGCCGTTGGCAACACGACTTGGCGTAATCATCATCCACCCACCCCGTTGCCCTCTTCGCCCTTCCGAACCTCATACCTTCTTAGTCAATATTGACAGCTTGTTAACCCACATGCTCGTACCTAGTATTCCAGGTCACTTTCCCCACAGACTTTTATCAGAGGTGCCCTGCGTCATCTGTCTGCGCTATCTGGCCATCCGTCTTGGTGGAGTCTAGACCGCGCAAGGCGCTCGTATCTGTACCCTCCTGTTCAGATGCCAAGTCAGACCCATCCTCCTTATTTTCTAATAGAGTGCTCTGTTGTGCGTCTACCTTGGTTGTGGCCTCTTGCATTGTTTCGAGCGGTGGGCTGGATGCTTCTGTGGCTGCGGGTAATTCTAGTAAATCTTCCGTTGGCGTAGCCATCAAATCATCCGCGCCTTCTGATAGAGAACACTCATGTGGAATTTGTGTACTGACAGAGGTTGTCACAGTTGCCGTCGAGAGCGCGACACTCGTCGTCGTGACTGTAGTGGTGAGGACTTCCGTTATTTGCGTCGTCAACTGTAATGTCGGTACAGGGTTCTCTTTGAGCGCTCCTTGCTTGCCTGCCAATGCAAAAAACAATACCAAGATGCTCAGTACGCCCACGAGGAGGTTTCGGCTCTCTTTGCTGAATCCTCCACCGTGACCAGCTGGTGGGGGCTGTGCGTCTTGCTCGAAAGAATATGGGCTAGGCGGTTCCAGCATTGACTGCCTCTGGAAGTTGGTCATATCGACCTTGCTTTCAAGTCTTCCAACGTCGCCGTATACCTCTTGTTCTCGGGACATGGGCAATTCATGATCGGCAACTGTGTCACTTGGGTCCAGTGGGCTTGGGTCCGTCTGTCCGTCTTCGATGAATGCGAGCTTTGTCTCAAGTTCTCGGCAAATCTCTTCTGGTAGGCGAACGTTGATTTCCACGTCGACCTTCTCCATCTCTTGCCATGCTGCGGCCCATGCTCCAGCCCGCATCAAACCATTGGCAGCGAAAACTTTGACATCCCACAGACGACGCGGCTCTTCCACAGACAGATGCCCGCCACAGTCCGGACACTTGAGAGAACCTTGGCCGTCAAGATCAGCCTCATCTTCGGTAAGGCTGCCACTCTCAAACCCACTGTCTATACTAGTCCCGCCGGTGTTGAAGAAGTGATTCTGCCTGATGCGAGGTTTTTCGAGTTCCAGACTCTCCAAAAGTCGTTCTTCTAGCAGCTCATAATCATCCTTGGGATGGGGAATTAGAATCCCTCTGCTGCTGATCTCGACATCTTTCAGTCTGTCTCGGAGAGCTAGCCAACGTTGCTTGTACTCCTCTGGCAGCAGTTCGCTGAGGGTTGCACTTTCTTCAGCCGAGGGTTGGAAAGGTTGATTGGGTGCTAGCAATGTACAGTGCAAGAGGATAAGAGGGAATTCTTTTTTGAGATTGGTGCTGCCTTTCAGGGGTGATGTGTGGTGAGACTGGCTAGATCTCTTGGTCGGAGACGTCCGAACTGAGAACAAACTCCTCTGACTGTACGACGACATTTGTGAACCAGTCCGTCTGTGGTGCCTTATCACACTGTTTGTCTCACTCATTGCTTCATCTTTCATCTGCAAAGCTTTGACACTGCTCGGATGGCGAAATGCCGTGCGGTAACCGCGGAGGTTTCGAGGGGACGTCGTCGCGGGGCGGGAGCCCCCAGATCGTTCAAAGGAGTAGAATCCGTGCGAGTCTCGTTTTGGGGGTGTTCGAGGGCCATACTGCTCTGGCTCGGAGTGTAGGGGCTGTGATATTGACGTCGGGAAAGAAGAAATCGAGGAGCATCCTGAGAAGACGCGCTGGCCGGCATCCCCGCTGCTCTCTGCATACCCATCATCTGGCTGCGAAACGGTTTCCGACTCCGAGTTAGAAGTGCTCTCATCGTATACTGCGCCGGAGAAGTTATAGTCGTGAGCTTGAGGGCTCTCTGTCACTGGTGGAGTGGGTGGAGTAGTCGAAGGCGAAGAGGATGGATGCTGCCGTAGTGAAAGCGGAGAGGACTGTTGGAATGCGCATACATCTGGTTCCTCGTCCAAGAAAGAGGGATTTGCAGACGCGCACATCGCCATCATGCGACGACAGACAATCTGATTGAGTTCATGATCATGGCAACGGTGCCTGTGCGCAGCGCATGCACTTTAATGTTATTATTGAGGGGTTGCACAGGGCAACAATAAACAATGCTGTCTGACACTACTTTCTCTTCCTCAACTGGCGGTGCACTACCTGACTACTAAGACTGCCTGAATTAAGTAACTGTCAGACAGAAAGTACTATGGGTCATTCGTTCAAGATCGCCGACGACAAACTTCACCACAGCCTCTCATCCCGCCTCTTTCATCAATATATGTACCTAAAGTTTGGATTCTCTCGGTCCGTCAAATCATCAAATGCGTGCACGTAATTATCATCTTTGGCCTCTCGAATCCCGGCAGAAACCAACTCGTCCTTCTTCCGATTCTGCCGCTTGAGATGGAGCCAGAGGAACGCAATCACCAGCACAAGGAGAACATAGCAGCCGAGGTGAGTGCTGAAGGCAATGAAATAGCGTGGGGCATCATATGACAGAAACACCTGCGGACCTGTCGTCGTCGAGTTAGTGAGCCATTATGATCAACGTCAAGAGCTAGGAGAATCACAAACCGACGGCATTTCCGGTGCACCAGGCTACAAAATTCATTGTGACAACGATTGACTTCTTCGTCTGACCTCCAACATTTCGAGAAATCATGCTCATAGCGAGCGTCTGAGCGGCCCAGAATGAGAGCACAATATAGTAGCTGATGAGCAATCCCACTTTGGTCGCCGTGTCTGTGTTCCGGACGCTCATCAACACGATCGTGCCTACGAAAGATCTGATATCTTGTTAGTTCAGCACGGACCAGATTGGAGGAGAGTATTACGGTATGATGAAGAGCCCCATAACCAAGCAATTCTGATGGAATTTCTTAACGAGCCATGTCGAGGTAAGCAAGATGATGATTATCACAGCACCAAGAACCATTGCAAGCAGCTGTGTCTGAAGGACGGTGAAGTTGAATCCTTGTGGCAAAGTCAGTACTTTCAGTTATCGCATGCGGAATTCCGTCCTTACCTGTGATGATGATATTCGCAAAAGCTCCTAAGCCAGAAGTGGGCAAAGTTGTGCAAATCTGGATGAGACAGTAGCAGTACGTCTGTGGATCCAGGAATGCTTCCTTGACCTGCTCTGGACGGAACTTCTTGTTTTGCAGTCCTGTTTGATTGCTCCTCACTCGCTCAACCATCAACTTCTTGTCCTCTTCTGAGAAGCACTTTGCTTTCATTGGAGAATCAGGCATCCACCAGCCGACGAAAAGCCCCCAAAGCACGGAAAAGCAGCCATAGGCAATGAAAATCGCCTGCCACGATTTCAGAGGCCCAGACTGGATTTGGGTGAAGCAATATGCCAGTAAGCCACCCACGATTTGCTGGCCTCCACTGTTTTGTCATCAGCGCCGAAATGACTTTGTCGAAGATACAAAGCCCATTAAGACTTTACGACCTTCAATATTGCGTTGTCTGAGAACTTACTTCATCATGTACCAATATGTTACCGTTTCGGCCTGTTCTTCTCGCTTGTACCACATGCTACTGAGGATGAGGAAACTGGGCTGACAGACCGCTTCGAAGATGCCTAGCAACGTCCTCAGGGTCACGATTGTGGCAAAATTCGTTGCAACCGAGTGGAGAGCGAGTACTGCGCCCCAGAGACAAATGTTTAAAGCAAGGTACTTTGCAATCGGCACCCTCTGGATAGTCCAGTTTGTGGGATATTCCACAATGAGGACGGCGATATAGATACAGGTTGTGAGCCACGAGTACTGCAATTGGGTCAGCTACTGGACTTCAGTTTTGGATGGGTTCCTACCTGTTGTGCGTGGAGATTCAAGTCCTCTCGAATGCCCATGATGGAAGCAAAAGATATGGTACCTTTGTCGAGAGCTTGAAGGAAGTACGTTGGAACCATTATGGCAAGCACGCGCCTGTCAATCATGCGTCTCAAGCGCCTGTTTTCTTCCTTGGATATCTCGACATGCGTCGCATTCGCATACTTTGCGACGTCCTTGTCGATACGGTCATAGTCGATGAAATCCTTCTGCAGATCGCTGCCACCGGACACCACCCTCTCGATCTCAGAGATGTCCTGCTTCTCCAAAGCACCTTTCTGGTTGGCGTCTGGAGAGGGCGCAGCGTCGCCAACGATATGATCCGATCCAGCCATAGTGCTTCTTGAGGTGTCGATAGTGTAAGTGCAAATGGTTTGAAAGCCCCAGCTGGGTGGGAATATAGCCTCTGCTCCTCAAACACCTCCAGCTGTGCACCATTTCCCTATATGCTGTTGCAGTCCATGCCCTTCGGTACAACAACGAACGAAAGCCTCGGAGGACAATCAACCGAAGGAGAGCATTAACTCTTATTTGCGAGGATAAGGTCTGCAGACAAAGGGAGAGGTTCAGTTGGACTCCCCAGTCGGACTACAGAGTTGGACTCTACCATTGGCCTCCCCCGGACTTTGCCCAAATGCGGACCTCATGAACGGCCCGAAGGAAAAGTCTCCATTGGCATCTCCGCAGTCTCGCTAGGTCGATCACACCCAATCGAGAGTAAGACCCCCACAAACCCACAAAACAAGTCTCATCCAACTCTTGGCTGCAGAAACCAGGATTATAGGGGTTAAAACCATCTCGGTATATTTGATGCCGGGAGGAGAAGGACATTTGACGAAGAACGGTGAGGATAAATAGCGTACGAGAAGGTTATTGGACTGCTCAACAACACGGGCAGCGAGAATCATGCCATCTCCTTTGGCTATTGACGGGTTGACTGCAACAGATATCTCACAAAAGATCGAACTACTGATCCACAATCTGGTCAACATCAAAGACGAGACAGGGCATTTCTTGTTGAAGCTGCCCGACGGACGGATTATCGACACCAAAGGTTGGCATGATTGGGAATGGACTCATGGAATTGGCTTGTATGGCCTGTATCAATATCATGCGGTGACATCCTCTCCAGTGGCACTCAGCACCATGGAAGACTGGTTTTCGAGGAGGTTAGCTGAAGGCACCACCAAAAATATCAACACCATGGCAGCCTTTCTCTCTCTGGCATATCTATATGAAGAGACGAGAGAACCAAGCTATCTGCCTTGGTTGGAGTCTTGGGCGGAGTGGGCGATGCATGATTTGCCTCGAACAACTTTTGGGGGGATGCAGCATATAACGTATCTTGAAGAGAACCACAACCAACTCTGGGATGACACGCTTATGATGACCGTTATGCCTCTGGCAAAGATTGGGAGACTACTCAATCGCCCCGGCTATGTGGAAGAAGCCAAACGGCAGTTTCTACTACACATACAGTACCTTTACGACCCTCGGACCGGGCTCTTCTTTCACGGTTGGCAATTTACCGATGACGGTGATGCTCAATTGGGCCATAATTTTGCGCGAGCGAGATGGGCCCGGGGCAATAGCTGGGTGACGATTGCAATTCCGGATTTCATCGAGCTCCTGGACTTGCCTTCGAACGACGGCCTAAGATTATACCTGGTCGGTGTGTTACAGGCACAATGCAGAGCTCTGCGGGCCTTACAAACCAAAGAGGGCATGTGGCGGACTTTGCTCGACGTGTCAGAAGAGGAAGGGAGTTATCAGGAAGCATCGGCCACTGCGGGATTCGCTTATGGTCTTCTGAAATCGATACGGAGACGGTACATCTCAAAGGAATATCTGGACGTTGCAACGAGAGCAATCAAGGCCGTGATTCGACGGATCAGCAAAGATGGCGAATTGTCGGATGTCAGCTTTGGGACCGGGATGGGCAAGGATCTCAAGCATTATCTGGATATAGAGAGGACCAGTATGCCGTATGGTCAAGCGATGGCGATGATGGCTTTGGTGGAATTTCTTCGGTTGTACAGATAGAGAGACCAAACACGACGACGATGACCGTGGCCAGGACATCGAATAGAGCATATCCCAGGTAAGAGGAATAGCCTTGTCTATGACTACAATCCAGCTACGACACAACTACATACATACTGTACATTGGACACATACCTTTGTTTTGGTACGTTGTTTTGGCCCCTTGAATTGTGCCGCTTGTCGTAAGGCCGAGGTATGCACCAATGTAGTATTTGCTGTCTTGCCATGGCGAGCGACGGATTGTGTTGAGTATAAGCACTAAGCAACAACGAGTAATTTGCGACTGTTTGAGATTCCAGCTGTACTCATCACCTACATGGCTAGGTATATATATATATATGCCTACAACATGAGATAGATGTTTACAAGTTCATCCGTGTTGACATTAAAACGATTCCATTGATCTCCCGCTAGAGAGGACCCTACAGATGACTATGACAACCACCGCCCAGGATGCCGCTCTCCCGCGCTATGTGCTGCTCGGTATCTGGGGCTGGATATACACAGTCTCCGCGGTAAGTCGCCCCTGAAATGTCATGTATGCCTGGGGGGAGCCTTTGAAAAGTCAACACTGATCTATTTGTGCGTCACTCTCGCAGCTACTCGGCTTTACACTGCTTCGACTGCTGTACAATATATCGCCATTTCATCCACTGGCCAAATACCCAGGGCCGTTACTGTGGAGAGCGTCTCGTCTCCCGGCTTCCTGGCGTCAGGCTCGCGGCGATCTATACAAGAGCATCGACGCCATCCACACAAAATATGGACCAGTGGTGCGAATCGCGCCCGATGAGCTTTCTTTCACGAACCCGGAAGGCTGGGCCCAGATCTACAACAGTCGACCTCAGCTGCAGAAAACGCGTTTCCACTTCCCGTCGGCCGAGACGCGCAAGGTGCCCGAGAGCATGATCATGGCCAGCGACACGGACCACACTCGGCTGCGGCGCCTCGCCAACCCTGCCTTCACGACCACGGGGGTCCTGGAAGTTGAGCCCGTGATGCAGCACTACGTCGACCTGCTCTGTACACAACTGACCGAGGCCTGCCACGAGGGCTCGCAGAACATGGTCGAGTGGTTCCTCTGGACGCTCAACGACGTGATCGGCCAGCTGGCCCTGGATCAGGAGTTTGACTGTCTCAAGAACCGCCGCATGCACCCCTGGCCGAGCTTCCTCTTGGAGGGCCTCAAAAAGGCCACCATCTTCAACCAGTTCCGCCGCTTCGGCATTACTGAGGGGATGCTGCTGCCGTTGATGACGGCGAAACAGTTGCAGGAGAGGAACAACTTCTTCAACGCGGCCAATTCGGCGGTGAAGCAGCGACTCGATCGTGAGGACGAGGAGGATGAGGACGACGAGGGCGGTAAGGAGAAGAAGAAGAAGAAGAGACCCGACATCGTGGGCCTGATGCTACGCGAGATGAAGGACGGCAACCGCCTCACCCACGACGAGGTCGTCTCAAACTCGGTGCTCATCGTCGGTGGCGGCGCCGAGACGACGAGCACCTGCCTCAGTGCGACCTTTTACCACCTCTGCAAGACGCCGCGCGTCATGAAGAAGCTCCAGGACGAGATTCGCCGCACCTTCTCGGCCAGCGGGGACATCACCGTCCGGGCGACCTCCAACTTGCCCTATCTCAGGGCGACCGTCGACGAGGCCCTGAGGATCTTCCCCGTCGCCAGCTACATCACGCCGCGAACCACGCCCAAGGGAGGCCACCTGATCGCCGGCGAGTTTGTGCCGGAAGGAGTAAGTTTTCTTTCCCTTTTCCCCTTCCTTGTTTTGAAAGACCGATCCCACATTTCCCTTTTCCCTCAGTATCTCTCCTATATCTTGCCCGCTACGCCTTGAAGCGCAGAGACTAACGAACGAGAACCATTTGTGAAATGTTGACAGACCTACGTCTCAATGGGCCAGTGGCACATGGGCCGGTCCGGCCGACTGTTCGACAACCCCAAGGAATTCCGACCGGAAAGATGGCTCGATGAGCTCGGCAACAAAGGTCCCTCGGGGTTACAGGCCGACGAGATCCTGAAGCCCTTTAGCCTGGGTCCTCGCAATTGTATTGGCAAGCAGTGAGTCTCTCCCCCTCTCCTTCTGATTTACACACAGGTATATACAGAATATATACGAGTATATGTAAAGTATATACCTATGCAGGTGCGATATCTGTCAAAGGCTCCGTTCCTAATCATTTCAAACTAGGGTGGCTCTCACCGAAGCACGCCTCGTCATTGCAAAGCTGCTGTGGCACTTCGACATGGAACTCGATGGGGATCATCCTACCTGGGTGGAAGATGCGAGGTTCTATGTGAGAGTTTCCCCTTGCTTCTCTACAAATCCCCGGCGGTGGCCTGTTACATGCTGACTCGCTGACTCTTGGAATAGGTTCTGTGGGAACTTCAGCCGCTAAAGATCAGGCTGACGCCGGTCGAGCGTTGAATGTAGCGTTGTTACATCATTTTATCACTACCTTCGCGTTTAAAGAAATGGTCCGAAACTAGATGCGCAAGAGAATCTAATATTAGCATGTCTGGTTTCCCTCTATAGCCTGCCCCGTGCGAGAATGGCGCCGCCATCGGTCGTGATGACGGCACCGTTGATGTGTGACGCCGCCCTGCTGCCCAAAAAGACCACCAAACCCGCAATATCCTCAGGACGCCCAAGCCTCTTGTTCGGTACTTCGGCTGCCATGGCGGCCTGTCCTCCCTGCAACTCTAGCAGGCCAGAAGCCATCTTGGTGGGGTAGAAGCCGGGGGCGACGGCGTTGGTGATGATTCCTCGGGGGCCGAGCTCGACGGCCAGGTTCTTGGCCAGGTGTATCGCCGCCGCCTTGGACGCCGCGTAGGCGGGTGTCGAGTTTTCGCCGACCGTGCCAACGCCGATACCAGCGACGCTTGCAGTTATGATGACTCTGCTGGGGTTCTCTGTGGTTGCGTTCTTCTGCAATAGCGGGGCGAGTTTCTGCACGGTATAAAACACGCTCTTGACATTTAGATCCATGACCTTGCTGAAAGCGTTTTCCGGGTGTGTGTCAAAGGGGGCTCCCCACGTTGCGCCGGCGTTTGCGAAGAGGATGTCGACGTGGTCGGTGGTCTTTGCGATCTCGGCCGCGAGACGTTCGATTTCTGAGATCTTGGCCGCATCGGCGGGGATGGAGATGGCGACTGCGCCAGGTCGTTTGTTGGGGAGCGCATTGAGGGCGGCAACGGCTTCTTCGCACGCTTTGGCCTTGCGGGAAGTGATGTAGACCTTGGAGCAGCCGGCTTGCAGGAATCTATTGACTTGGGTGTCAGCGTGCCCCAACGTCCCCGGTGAAGGATGTGGGTTGTGTAGCTTACCCAGAGGCGACATTCAGTCCTAGTCCTCGCGAACCTCCAGTCACGACAGCGACCTTGCCTTCGAGACTGAATATGCTCCCAAAGTCCTGGAGCTCGACATCCTGTTGGGCACTACCCATCTTGTCTGTTTGATCTCTTTTCTTTTTGTGGGGTTTCCTGTCTCTTTTCCGTCTATGATGAGCCACACAGTAAATCCAACACCACGTTCAAAATGCAGCAATCCGGAGTCTTGCAGCCTCTGTTGGGGGAGTGTTATGGTCGAGAGGATATTATACGAACGGAAATGGGTCAATTGCCGAACTATTGACGAGTCGCTGGTCATCCCACAATTCCGGGGTGCTGTTGATTAGAAGATGCGCAATTCCGGTGGGATTGGAAAGTCGGCGCTGTTGAAACAGCCGAGGCTCGAACGAACATTATGGGGACTGGAGCTGAGATTCAGCACTGAGTTTGGGAGGTTGTTTGTTCATTCCGCCGTCTTGTTTTATCTGTATCGATGTGCCAGGTGTTTCGGTGGTTCAGAATCTGCGTTGTGGAAGCGAGATGAACGTCCCTGATATGTGGAAGTTGAAGGCGACCTTGTGGTGGACATAAAGTACAAGTGCCGAGTACCGAGCACAAATTTGTATATTCTATGTCCGCAGGCGCAGACCTAGGCATCTCCATCAACTCCTACTGTGTCACAGTGTGTTACTTAGCTGCTCCACACAACAGCCAATGGCTGGCGAGATCTCAGATACTAGGTATTCTTCATTTTGCCCAGCTCGTTAGGTCTGAGAAGGTGGTATCAGGCCCTCACCTCTTACCACACTATCTCACCGGCTTTACGATGACACCAACATGAGCGGGCGACGTCTCCGATGTCCAACTCTTTGCAATGGGGTGCCAGCCCGTGCCTTGAAGGACTGCGCGGCCGCTTGTGACTGCTCGTTGCTGGAGATTGTCGCAAGGCCCGTCAGTCACTGATCAGCTTATGTACGCGGCAGCTCCTTCACCAGCCGTCTCATCTGAGTATGTAGTTCCTCGAGCAACTTTGCTGTCAAAAGACATTTCTCTTCTTCACAAACCTGAACAGGGCCGACTGGAACCGACAGCGATGGCCGACAACAGCATCAGTATGTTTCCAGAGACAGATCCTGAACTTGCGGAGGTGCGTCTACCCGTCGAATGAACCTCACGGCGATACCTGTCTAACGTATTTCACATGTTAGATATGGAGGGAGAAAGGTGTGCCCAAATTCTTCCTTCCCCGGGTTGACAAGATGCCTCAAACGCGGGTTCTCCACGCTCAAGGCAATGTCCGGTTCATGAAGAGCGCTTTCGTCAAGCAAACCTTGGGCGATCAAGTCCTCTGGACAGAAGAAGACAGATCGGTCGTTGTCCGCGATGGGCACTCGGTCGCAATTCGGATCTATCGCCCCAAATCACATCCCGGGCCCAGACCAGTCATGGTTCTTGCGCACAGCGGTGGATTGTGCATGGGTGGACTGGACACGGAGGAGTTCATCTGTCAGCTCCTGTCTATGAGGTTGGGCATCATCGTCGTCAGTGTCGCATATCGCCTCGCCCCGGAATGGTTGTATCCCACTTGCGTCTACGATGTGTACGATGTCATTAAATGGGTGCGTTGAGCACAGATGTCGCTTCTCGCGTGAACTGACCCATGATAGCTATCAGTCAATGCTCAGACCATCGGTGCAGATTTGTCCAAAGGCTTTCTCACGGGCGGCGTTTCAGGAGGCGGGAACACGACATGCATGGCTGCTATTATGGCGAGAGACGATAAACTGCAGCCTCCTCTGACAGGACACGTCTTCCTCTGTACCGGCATGCCCCACGATTACACGGACCAGAAGGGGCACAAGCTCGCCCTCTTCCCAGAACAGTTGTTGAAAGGGAGTTGGGAAAGGTATAAAAATGGGCCGGTGGCTACTCGGGAGATGAACATCCTGTATGGCCGTAAGTTATGCCCACTTCTATTCAAGGCTGAGAACAGAACTCACACCAGGGACACAGAAATCTCTCAATTCGACGCGCGAGATCCCTATGTGACCCCTTTGACGCAGACAGACTACTCTGGGCTGGGTCCGGTGTTCTACCAAGTCGCCGAGATGGACATCTGGAGGGACAGTGCCCTTTGCTACTGCGAGAAAATCAAAGAGGCCGGTGGCCAGGTTAAGGTGGAGGTATATCCTGGCGTCCCGCATCTGTGGTGGTCCATGTACCCGCAGCTTTCGATCAACAGGAAGTGGATTCAGAATCTGGTCAATGGTGTCGAGTGGCTGCTGAGCCTGCAACGGGGTGGCGCTGCTCTGCCTTCCAGGCTCTAGCATCGGCCTCGACTATTGCTAGACGGACAAATGCGGGCGATACACCACCTGAGATCTGTGTAACCGCACGGGACAATTTGTTTGCTGCTCGCATACGATGCTGTAGGACAATCGCAGCCAACAGGGCACATGGTTGATAAAGGCAAGTGTTAACTCGACGTTGCTCTTATTTCTAGACTCCCGGTACGGCACGAGGTTCAATATCGAATTCATTGGAAACACTCTCGGCGGCAAAGATGTTTAGATTTCGCGTCGATAAAGTCCTTGGATGTTCAGGTCGAAACTCATGTATGTTTCTTCTCCTTGATGGGCTTTCTCTTGAGCCACTTGTTTGCCTCCTTTGGCTATTGGTTCCCGACCTTTCTATACTGTGTGACCTTTGATTCTCATGTCCCACAGCATCTCATCTCATCTCAAGTCAACTCAGCCTCATCATCCCCGTTGAGAGTGGAAGAGGAACTTGCCCAACATTGACAATTACTTTACCCGATGCGTTGCGCCCCGCTAATATCTCTGTCTTCTCTCATCTCATCTTCAGCTTTTCTGTCGCCTTGGCTGAGGTGAGAGTGAATGTGGCACGGTTCATACAAAAACTCTCGAGGGTTGATTGAACAGTTCACCTTTGTCTTCCTCAGTCTTATTCTTCTCTCTCCATTCAAATCTGTTTCTCTCGAACTGTGAGGATCATCATCTCAAGATCACATCCAATTCTCGATCGATCGATTCCTTCATCTGACACCGTTACTCTGCCCTCAATACACCCTCCTCTACCGTGTAGCTGAGAAGGCTTCTCACTCTCGCGTCACCATGGCTCCGTCCGGTTTTCCAGGGCTCGGTCTTTTCATCCTCTTCTTCTTCTTCTTTGCATTTTCCCCCACTGTCCAGGCTCAGATGCCCGTCTCCACGTCGTTGCCACCCGTCTCTCAAGAGCCGCCATCGTCACCGACAAATCCACCCGATACACCTCCGACCCCATTCACGACCACAGAGGTATACACGCCATTTGCGCTCTGTGCGACAGGAGGAGGCGACTGGTACATCGACCCGCCCACGGCGACTCGACTGGCGGATCTGTTCTGCGATGAGGTGCATAAGCCGGGAAATCTCCCTGCGCAAGGTATTTCTCGTCCCTTTTCTGTGGATGCTTGTTGGAATGAATTCTCAGTGTTGCTTATCCTGAGACGCATGATTTCCCCATTTCCCACTGTCTTGTCTTTCTTTCTTTCTTTCTTTCTTTCTTCAAGCCCATATCCTTACTCCAGGTTGCTATAACAGGGAAAGAGTTCGACCTGAACGAATATCCCACCGACCTCATCGCGCTCACCGCGAACGACACCACCACAACCGACCACAACAACACCATCCTCGCCGGCGCCGCCGACACGCTCAAACGGGCCGACAAGGAAGACCTGAGCATGGACGTCGCGACAATCGCGCCAAACTACACCCTCACGGAACTGTCCGGGATCATCATGGCGCTGCGGCTGTTCCGGTGGAAAGACACCGTGCTCGACGACGTCACGTACGCGTCGGGCACTCAGGCGCAGTGCGACCAGGACGCGCAGCAGGACCAGTGCCGCGCGGGCCTGCGCCGCGTCATCGACAAGTGCCAGTGGAACAGCCACTACTTTGGCGGCGTCAACTTCTGGATGACGGGCTGCGGCATGTACGGCGTCCAGGTAGCAAATTGCTCGGGCAACTGGCTCGATCCGAACTGCGACCTGTGGCATCGCAAGTGGCCGGATGTTGGCAGCGGGCCGGATCAGTCGCTTCTCACTACCTTGGCGACGTCGTTTACTGCATCGACGGCGAGGGCGTGAAGTTGACGAACAAAAGGGAACACGATCAGCTTGTCTACTACAGCCAGACGGCCAGAGAATTTCAATCGGGGGCAGACAACACCGAGTTCTTCATCCTCTGTGAGAGCTGTGGATAGTGTGGTAGGTTGTGATGATGATAGTGCTGGTGGTGCCGGAAGAGTGCTACATATTCACCATCAGGGGAACAGTTTCAACGAACCTTGTTTTCCGGGGACAAGGTGTGCTTTACTCCAAGGAGAGCGAAAACCAGTCATTAGCTTTCTTTCCATGCTGGCTAGCTGGCGCTGTGTGATGGATGGGAAGGAGACATAAAACATCAAGGACGGGATGCTGGGCTACTGGGCTACTGGGCTGCCGGGGTGGACATTCTCAACGGCGAACATATCGATGTAGTAGTCCAAGAATCGATACCGTGCTGTGCTGTGGAGTGCTGTCTTTTCCGCTCACTCACTCGTTTACTCACGGTCCCCCACGGGCTAATGTCCAATGGGTGGACACGCAATGCAGTCTTGATTCATATGCCTAGGTGAGGAAATCGATTCTCTCCTGAGTCTTGACGGACGAATGGATGGATAGACAATAGGTCTTGAAGATGGAGAGGAGTGCACAGCGACTTTGAACGACTTCTCTTCGCCGCGTAACCAATGAACCTTGTTATCGCCTTGAGATGCTCCCATAGCGGAGGAGGAGAAAAACAAAGGATAGGATTTTTTTGTTCATACAAAAGTGAGCGTGTGGGAAAAGTGCGATTCGAGAAATCGAGATATACTTCAAGGGTCATCGTGTTCTTTCCTTCAATGTTGGACCACCTCACTCACATTCCAACTGTCGCAGTGATACAGACCCCCAACGTCGCACGTTCAAGGATTGAAAATGACAGCGCACAAGGATATACGTTCGACAGCTGAGAGCCCTCGATGTCCTCTTGCAGATTGTCATTGTTGATCAGGGCCTTGACTCTTTAGGCCTCGATCAACCCATGCGCACTCTGCTTTTTGCGTGTCCCTGGAAAGAATGACTGGATTCAAAAAGCCACTACAGGCTGAACTCGAGCCTGTTCCCGGCGTAGTCTCTGGCGAAAAACCGTTGGGGATACTCCACGCCTTGGGATCCTTTTTCACACAGACCAGCCGCATTAGTTAGTTTCACAGCATATTCCTGAATGCATGGGTATGTAATTCCCTTTTTCGTTTTTTCTCCCGCCCGACTTGACAACAGATAGGCAAAGAAATCATAAAGAGGAGGCTCACCAGAATTGACATCTCCAGGCTTATCCGCCTCGGTCGGCGCCGCCTCGCCGCCTCGCACGAAATGCTCCCAGATCCTCTGCCTCAGCTGCAGAAGCGCCTCCGGGGACGCCAGCCGAAAGCACGGATGCCGCGACGACCGCTTCTCGAAATCCGAGGGCGCGCCAAACGCGACGTGCACTTGCTGGCCCGAGGACCCAATGTCGAACCACGCCAAAGTGCCCTTTTGCAATTGCGGGACCGCCCGCGGCGTGAGGCCCATGGTCGTCCCGTAGAATTCGTTGGCTTGCTCGAGCGTGCCGGCCGGGACGGTGAGGTTGACGTGGGCGAGGCCCGTTATGAGTGACGATGAGTCGAGCGATCCCATCCTTTCTCGGGTGTGGGTTTCACACTTTACACTGGTGAAGCGCGTGCGGAGAGAGAGAGTGTGTATGTGAAGGCGGTGGTATCTCAGTTTCCAGCCTCTCCTGCTTGGTTTCGTGCTGTTTCCTTTTCCTGCCTCTTTTCACTCTTTGGACTCACGCTTGCTTTCCCAGTTTCGAGGATTGGGAGAGACCGTTGACTTGAGGACGGGTTTGGAGTCGGTAAAGGATGCCGAACGAGGGGTTGCGGCCGTCGGTATTTGCTCCGGCTTCTGCCACAACGAGGTGAGATTTGGTCTGACGAGGGTCTCCCGAAGTCTGGATTCAGAGCACAAATGTCCTGGCGAGTCTTTGTGTGTGAAGATCGCACACCGTCAGACAGTTTTTGATTCTTGTCTTCTTCGAGGCGAGGCAGACTGGCCGACATGGACTGCGCTTACAAAGGACGCACAACTCGAAGACTCTACCAATCACGCCATCAACTGCGATACTTTCGACAGCTCTGGAATCCCGCATCTCCATGGGCACCTTTTTCAAAGATTCGAGACGGGTTCAAGTATCGAGGGCACGTAACGTAGACTTCAATCTGGGCGAGGTCTAGAATGTTAGGACTCGAACACAATCCAATGTCAATCGCTCTGCAAAGTTATCACATTCTTACCATCTTCCATCACCACTCTTTTCCCAGGTCAACAGCAGCCATGATTGTAAACCCACTGTTCTTCGGCCTCGACCTTCTCCGACCCTAGTTCGGCTCACCAATCTAAACCAGTGACTCACGTCGCGTGAAAAGCCAACGTTGAGAAACTCTGGAGCTTACAGTTCTTGCTGAAGGGACAGAACGAAGATATCGTGAGAGTTCTGGCCCATGAGGACATGTCTCACTAATAGTCACGAATATATGAGGTCAAGTCGATGGACTTGCCTTCCTTTCTAACTTCAGCCGATACTCACATCCCCGTCGTCTCTTGGACTGCACCCGCATCAACTACTTGCCCCTTGAAGTATCCAAACCCTGAAATTAGTTGTGCCGAACGAGAACCTTTCGCCCCGAGCCGAGATGAATCCTCGCACAACCGCGATTTCTGAGCGACAGGGGCACGAGGCCGCGACGGGAGGAACAGGTTGGCATCGGCATCTCATAACTGAGTTTCGACAAAGGCTGGATGTTATTCGTGTGCACTGACCGCTCCTTTTCGCAGGCAGATACCATACCAATCAAGGGTTGGATAGTGCCTCATTTGGCTCTTCCTCCGTCCGCCTGACGATGAGCTTGACAATATCTGGGCAGGTGTGGAGAAGTCAAGAAACCAGAAAAACAACATTGCCAACTCCATACTCGTGGTCATACTTTACCATTGGCAAATTCTGCTCCCCACGAGACTGACACATTACGTCGACGTGTCAGCAACTTGAGACCTGACACCACTGAGGGTGGGCGTGACGCTAGGTCGTCATCGCCCTGAGCAAGGCCGTCATGATTCATGTCAGAAGACTGCGAATTTGTCGTTTGTCGGCGAACAGAAGTTGGGTCCATAGACAACCAACCTTGACTGGACCCGTACACGGAGGGTTGTTAAGGACTCTCAAGAATCAAGCATCACTCCGAAACCGAGAATGACACGTTGTCCACCACTTGGGCTCGAAGAAAATGCTTCTGTTTTGAGAGAGGTAACTGGAGCTCACATCTTACCTGACCACTGGTCTAGGTTTTTGTCAAACAGGGTATCCTCGCAGACTTAGCACTGCCCTCACTCCATACCGCCTTTCAATTTTGTGGGGGTATTGGAGCACCAAATACTGGGACAAGCACCTTGAAGGGTTGGGCAGGGGCAGGTCTAGGTTTTCAAGAGTGACAGATAAAATATGCCGGTAGATACCAACAGGACGTTGAATGTGGATGGAAGTCTTCCGGAACAAATGAGGGTCGCTTGTGGCTTGGTTCTTGGAGGAAGATCTTCATCTTCCCGGTCAAACCCGCAAATAGCAAAGGCTTTGAATTCCCAAGACTGCCGGCGCATCACCGACATGCGCTGGTCCTTTCCCATGAGAATAGAGTGCGTGCCATGGGTTGCGTTGCCTGTGCGCCCAGTTCTGTACAAGAACCCCTTCAGCCCCTTGCTGTCGCACAATGCCGTTGGGAATGGACGGAAGCCACCAGCTGCTGCTGTTGCCGCGCGGGAGCATCCTCAATTCCAGAGGACGAAGATCGCCCCCATTTAACCTTATGAGATGTGGTCTGTTCTCGCCACGGGGGATCAATCAAAAGTGAGGCTCGGTGGCCCTGGTGAGACAGCGCGGATTGTTAGAGGGTGATCGCTTGACCGAAAAAGCAATCCTCCACCCCCGTGACGGATGACGTCGTTGTGTTCTCTTCTGGCTTGTGGGTTTTTGCCCCCGCAAGAGAATTGTTTATGCCAGAGAATATCTCGATCCTCGCTGCCTGGGGCAGATGTAGCAAACAGGTCCCATATGATGCCACCAATACCTCCCTTCTCTTACGGTTTTTGTTCTCCAGCGTCGTGATAGACTGGCATACTGTGGTAACCACCTGCCACGGTGCCGAGGACGAACCCTTCTCATATATCTGTACCACGCAGGGACTCTCTGCCCCAGAGTCACCGCGGTCCCTGCGTCAAGGGAAAAGCTCGTGTTGACAGAAGGAAAACGGACAACGTGACAAGGGTTATCGTGCGTCAAGGGATTATGGGGCGCGAAAGGTATCCGGGTCGTTAGCGCTTCGTTTCGCTCTTCCAACGACCTTGGTGTTTCCTATCCAAGCCATAGGACTCGCCCATCTCTGATGGTGTCATGAGCATTTGGCAAAATAATTGGCGGGCAGACACCACGTAGGTCTGTCGGATAACTGGGGCCGTGTCCATACTTTGGTTATAATGTGCTGGTAGTCCGGTCTTCGGGCGACTGTCACGCAACGCTATAGGCTGAGGTCAAGCCTACCCAAGACGACTCTTTGAAAATATCCGAATCTTCAGCGATTATTCAACCGGCGAGTACACTAGGAACGTCGATCTTTCGTGTGTTGATGTGCCACCATTCCACCACGCAACCCCACTCGGTGATTCGCCGGAGTACGAGACTCGACTTGAAGAGGTTTTTGGGAAGACGCAGGTTCGAGCAAGGAAACCGAATTCCAGGATGGCTGTGGGAGTGTCAGGGCTGCTGGGGTCACGAATTCGATGCACAGGAGGCTCTCTGGCAAGAGGGTGTGACCCTCATGCACCGCGTTTCGACGAGTTGACTGGGATAAGCCCGGTGGCCTTCTTTGGAGTTACAATGGAGTAAGTGAAACCTGAATGTCGGCGTGATCCTCAGACCGATGGCAACTCCGGTTGGGAGAGATGATGTCGATCGAGGAGTAAGAACGAGTGATCAACGACGTCAATCCGCAGGACTTTTTGCAGCCGCCGCAGTGACTAAGTGACCTAGTCAGACCGCAGGAGGTATAGCGGCCCATCTTCACCTTGAGCAATCATCTGAGAGGCTCCCCCTTACACAAGCGGCTGCCTAGTCCCGCCTCCCGTCCCATTCCTCTTGGCCACTCTCCATCTTTCGCTTGCCTTAGGCGGGTGCGCTTTCCGGCTATCCGTTCGCCAATTTTCGTTGTCTCTGTCCCCCCAAAGGGCGTCTCTTTACCTGGGACGAGCCCCGGGAACCTTTGTCAGTGGTGGTGTCCAGGTGCTGCCCATTGCCCTCCGACTTTTTCCACCACACGTTTCTTGCTCTGGCCACAAACAGCCTTGCGCCATCTCATCTTCCACACGCCATCATCATTATTTTTACCCTGGAAATCGTGACCCTTTTTTACTCGCCACCACCGCGTGGCCGCCATCGCTTGTGTCTATCTCAAACCCTTGCCGCAACACCACCCACCTCATCCCAAACCCTCGGCGATGGTTTCTTGATATAGAAGAGGACACTCCTGCCACCGAGAAGGAGTGACTGAAACACGCAACGACTCTGACCCTCGCCCTATTTGTGAAACCCATTTCCACCTACCAAAAGGAAATCCAAGCACCCAGCGTCTCATCCAATCCCAAGAGCCCACTCAAAGGCTGGCAATCTCTGACTCCCAGGAGGCAACGCTGCTGTTGATCACCCCCCATGGTCCACCAAAGGCTCAGGTGAACGACGTAACTTGGCCAGCGATCCGTGGGACGACCGACCCCCGGTCCACAAAACCGCAAGCTCCTCACCACTCAAGCCGCTTTGCTTGTACATAGAAGGAGATTCCTGACCTCAGTCAGTACCCAGGTGCCAGCTCGCCAGGGCACCCATCCGCTTCAGGCCCTTCACGTTTGACTTTGCAGGTTCCGCTCTTGGGCAACAGGGAGCCCATATTCCTCTCCAGCAGTTAACTTTGCCCTGTGACGATCATCTTATCCACCCTCCAACCATTCACGACAATCATTGTCCACTCCAGTCAACTTCCGCTTCGCTCCAACTTCGCCGACCCTGGTTGCGGCCCAGTAACCCTGCCATCGTCCCTCCCTCTGCGGGCATCCCGTGCCCTCCCTTCCCCCAAGGTCCCAAATACTTCGTCAACCCACTTGGGCAGCCTCGGGCTTTTACTCGTATCTGCTCTCTCAAACCTGCCTTCACAGCCTTCCCTTCCCAACGAAGCCCATTGCATCTTTGGTTGACACCGCCTGAACGGGTGTTACCGCCTTGGATGCTCGAAATACCTTAGGACTGGCGCTGGACCTAGGTCATTGCGCTCGTCTTGAATTGCACGCAAGGCCAATGCGTCATTCGGCAACTCCAGAACGTCGGTCAAGCAAGATTGGGACAACAAACAGGACAAGCAGAGTGCTGCTAAAAGATATCTTAAGCCTGGCGGAGGCCCGATGCGAAGCTCCTCGACATCATCGTCCACGGCTACGGCACCCTTCCCTTATCCAGTCTCTATGACTGGGCACGGACTATCAGACATAGCACACCGCCCATCTATATCTCCTCCGATCTCAAGTGGTTCCTCATCTTCTTC